GAGCAGAGCAAGCAGCAGTCCAATGAGCACCTCCGCCGCCAGTTTGCCAGCCAGGCCAACGTCGTGGGGCCCTGGATCCAGACCAAGATGGAGGTGAGCCGGCGCCCCCCGTGGCAGGCCCCGGGGGCTCCCTGGCGGGTCTGCCTGGGTCCCTGTTCTGGGAACGATGGCAGCCTTGGGATGGGGGGAGTCAGTGACTGCGTTGTGGAAATGGCAGCACCAGCCGGAGGAGGAGCCAGGTAGAGGAGGGTTCGAGCCTCGGTCCCGCTTTGCCCACTGACCAGGAGGCCGGGCACAATTTAACTCGTCCTCGGTGTTCTCACCTCTAAAAGTGGAAATAGCCCTTCCGCTGCCTTAGCACACGTGTGGGGCACTGCTCCATGGCGGCCCCGTTACCAGCACTGGTGTCTGGGGCCGGCGGTCCGAGCACACACCCCTAGAGCAGGCTCACCGGGGACTGTTGGGGCCTGTCCAGCAAGCCTGCGGGGGTGCTGGTGGCGGCTGAGGGGCTTCTGTGGGAGCTCACGCGCCGGGTACTCGTGCCCGGGAGCACAGGTGCTGACGCCCGCCAAGCCCAGGCCCCGGATCCAGCCCCTGCCCCCCACTGAGAAGAGCGGCCATCTTTGGGCCTCAGGTCCCAGGCCTGTTCCTGTCCTGAGCCTCACAGGGAGCTGAGGGAGCACCAGGGCTGGGCGTCCCAGAGCCTCCCGGCCCAGCAGCACCCCCTCCCGCGCAGGAGATCGGGCGCATCTCCATCGAGATGAACGGGACCCTGGAGGACCAGCTGAGCCACCTGAAGCGCTACGAGCGCAGCATCGTGGAGTACAAGCCCAACCTGGACCTGCTCGAGCAGCAGCACCAGCTCATCCAGGAGGCACTCATCTTTGACAACAAGCACACCAACTACACCATGGAGGTAGGCCCGCGGGCCAGGCCCCTAGTCCAGACTTTCTCCCTCCTCTTTTTCTCTGACCGGAAACTCTAGCTCAAGTGTTTACACGTTTTTAAAAAAAAAAAAATCACAGTTTCCCACCATTCTCCTGTCACCACGACAAAACGGCGTCAGGTCCCCCTGGAAGAGCCGGGAGGGCAGCCCCTGCCCCGCTTGCCGCGCCCGGGCTGCAGCGTCAGCCTCCTGGCAGCCGCAGCTTGTCCGCAGTGACACTGCACCATGGAAGCGCACAGATCAGAGGAACACGGCTCTTCCCCAGAAAGCTGGTTAATCATTGCCCGCCATGCCTGCGCGCTGTCCTCGCGGGTGCCGGGCCTGGCGCTTGGCAGGGGCACGGCAGGGGCCGCGCCAGTCCCCCCGGTGCGCACGTGGGGCGCGGGGAGAGTCGGGGCAAGCCCACCTCCTGGCCGCACGCGCGCCCTGCATGAGGAGAGCCCGGGTCCGAGCCCCTGCGGGCTGCGGCCACACGGCCTGACCCTGGCCCCTCGCTCGCCCTGCCCGCAGCACGTGCGTGTGGGCTGGGAGCAGCTGCTCACCACCATCGCCCGCACCATCAACGAGGTGGAGAACCAGATCCTCACCCGTGACGCCAAGGGCATCAGCCAGGAGCAGATGCAGGAGTTCCGGGCCTCCTTCAACCACTTCGACAAGGTGAGCCGTTCCCTCTGCCCCTGGCGTCTTCCCTCCCCGCCGTCGTCGTCCCACCCTGCCCCCTGCGTCTCTGCCTCTGTCCGTTCGCCTCACGGTGCTGAGTGTCAGTCGCCACTCACCGGCCCGCAGGGCCCCGGCCACCAGAGGGGGTGCGGAGGTGTGACACCTTGACCCACAGCCTGGGTGGCGTTCCTCCGGAGGAGAGAGTGGGGGAGGGGGCCCCACGTCCTGCCCCGGGGCCGTGCGTCCTCAGCAGCCTGCCCCCTGTGAGGCCCTGGGACACACTCAGTCCCAGGTCACCCGAGATCTGAGACCTGGCCGTGCGCCTGGTCCACCCGAAAACAAAGCGTTCTCAAAATTCGAGTCTGGTGCGGCGGCCCCACTAGGGAGGCCCTGAGCGCCCCACTTGGCCACAGTCCCCTCCTGCCCTGCTGGGCCCCGCGCGTCGCGAGGTGCACGCTCAGCTCTGCACTGTCTGGCAGGGACCTGGGGTCCCAAGCAGGACGGAGTGCAGCCCTCTACCACCCCAAATCCTGGAGGCAAGGAGAGCTCCCTGTTCCTGCCGGGAGCCCCAGGACTCAGGGCTCAGCCCTGCACCACTCCACTCCCACCCCTGCTCTGGCCGAGGCCTCGGGCAGAGGCGTCTGACCCCCCTCCGGGCCACCCGGGCCCCTCCCCCTGCTCCACCGTCCCTGGCCACCACCTTGTCCGTGTCACCTCTAACTGTGTTTCCCCCCGATGTGTTCCCCTCCCCCTGCCCTCTGCATGTGACCCTGGCCCCTGGCCCCGCGTCTCTGTGCCGGCCCGGTCTCCACACCGCCCCTCGCACACACCTGCCTTCGGACGCGCGGCAGGACCACGGCGGGGCACTGGGGCCGGAGGAGTTCAAGGCCTGCCTCATCAGCCTGGGCTACGACGTGGAAAATGACCGGCAGGTACGCGCCCCCCTGGGCCCCAGCGGACTGTGGCATTAACTGCTCTTCTTTCTCTCTCTCCTTCTCTCTGTCTCCCCTCCCTCTCGCCATTCCACCCCTTGCCATGTGTGTGCCATTTCACCGGCTCTCTTGCCTCCTCCCTGCCCTGTGTCTCTCTGGACACCTTCCCCCTTACCTGGTCTCTCGGGGCCGCCTCTGTCTCCCTGGCTCCTGCCACTGTCCTGTCTCCCTGCTGTGCACATGGGGCGGCCCTTCTTGCCTACTCTGGGCCTGGCCTCCTCTGCTGTCCCTGCGTCCTCGAGCAGAAGCAGACAGGCAGCATGGACTCCGACGACTTCAGGGCTCTGCTTATCTCCACAGGATACAGCCTGGTATGCAGCCTCTGCCTCCCCTCGCTGCTGTGCCTCTCCTCCCCCTCCTCTGCGCAGCCTCCCCCTCCTCCTCACCGCCTCCAGAGTCTCCGTGTCCTCGGGGACGCTCCCCCAGCAGGGCAGTGCGGCCTCACCGCTGCCGCTGCCTCTGCTGCCTCTGCTGGGCTGGGGTCTCTCCGATGACTCCCTGAGCTGCCCACCTCCTTTTCTGGAAGTCTCCGGAGAGAGGAGGTCAGGCCTCTGGCTCTCTCCCCTTTTCTCTTTCTCTCTCTTTCTTTCTTTCTTCCCTACCCTCCAGAGCTAAGTCGTGAGCCTAGAGCTGAGGAGCAGTAGACCTGTTTGATCCATTCCCCAGCTCCCACTTCCCAAAACCGTGGGTGGGGAGGACAGAGGGAGCGCAACCCCAGTCTGGGCGAGTGGGGCCCCTTGGCCTGGGGAGCCAGCCCCCGTGGAGGCGGGCCGATGGCAGGTGGCGTGTGCCCTGGGGCCGGGCCCCGCTCTTCTGGCCCCCGTTCAGCCGGGCCGGGCCTCTCGCCACCCCGCTTCAACGCAGCCTGTGCCCCACCCCGCTCCCCCCCCGGCAGGGTGACGCCGAGTTCAACCGCATCATGAGTGTGGTTGACCCCAACCACAGCGGCCTCGTGACCTTTCAAGCCTTCATTGACTTCATGTCGAGGGAGACCACGGACACAGACACGGCCGACCAAGTCATTGCCTCCTTCAAGGTCCTGGCAGGGGACAAGGTGAGCGGGAACGGAAAGCTCCAGGGCCCCCAGCGGGGAGGGGCCCTTGCAGCCAGGACTGGGTGGGGGGGGCTCGCAGGGCTGGTGTGGGGGGGGGTGGCCCACAGTCCCGCCTTGCGTCGCCAGAACTTCATCACGGCCGAGGAGCTGCGGAGAGAGCTGCCGCCCGACCAGGCTGAGTACTGCATCGCTCGCATGGCGCCCTACCAGGGCCCTGACGCCGTGCCCGGCGCCCTCGACTACAAGTCCTTCTCCACAGCCCTGTATGGCGAGAGCGACCTGTGAGGCCCCCGCTGGGGAAATCCCGACCGAACGCCCCCTCCTCACAGCCTCCAGGAGGGGCTGGGGGAGCCCTCTGCCCTCCTCCCTGCCGTGGGGGCCTCCCAGGTCCTGTTCCTCTGACTCTGTATCTATGCAAAGCGCTCTGTCAGTTCCTTCCGGGGGGTGGGGTGGGCAGGGAGGGGCTGGGGCAGGCTCTCTCCTCCCTCTTTGTCTGTCGGCCCCTCTCCCTGCATAGAGGTAAGGGAGACCTTCGGGGTCAGCACTTCTGGTCTGGTAAAGTTATATGATGTGTTGTTTTGTCTTTTAACTATGTGGAGGGGACAGTGGATGCCACAGCAAAACAGGTCCCCTCCAGGCCCTAGGAATGCCCTCCACACCTCGTCCCTTCCCTCACCTACCCCCACCCACCACCGCCACGAGGTCCCTTCAAGGCCTCCCACATCCAGGCCAAAGCCCTATGTGCCTTGTCCAGGAACCGCCCTGGCCTGCGGTGGGCCCTGCGGTGGGCCCAGCAGAGGGCGACACAGCTGCCCGACGGGAAAGGACCCTGCCTCACTCCCTTCTTCCCTCTCCCCTCACCCGAGATTGCCAGGAGATGAGGGGGTGCAGCTCAGCACCCTCCTTTTCTGCAACGGAGGAGTAGGGTTGAGCAGACCAGCCTCTTGCCCCCACCCCCGGCCAGCCCCCACCTTGCTTTGTCCGGACATGTATATCTCAGATTTTTCTAAGGACCAAAAAACAAAAACAAGAAAAAAACAAAAAAAAAAACACAAAACAACAAAAACAAAAAAATGCACAAAAAAAACCTATAAAAAAGGAATTAAAAACTTTCAAAGAGTTACTATTTACTTTATTAACTTACGGATTTATTATATAAATATATATTCACCTAGCAACATATCCTTGCCGCCTTTTGCTCTCATAATGAAGACATAGCTGATCTGCTGCGCCCCCCCACCCCCGCCCCTTCCTGGTTTTCCTCTCTGTTGTCTGTCATTGGGCATGGGTCTCTGGGGACCCTCCTGAGGCGGAGGGTGGGCTGCTGGCCTGGCTGCCTGTTAGTTGATGGGTTTTGCTTCCTCCCCTCCCTCCCCCATTTTTGAGTTTATTCTGATTGATTTGATTATTTTTTTTTCTCGGTTTCTGGATAAACCACAACCCTCCTTGGGGACAGGATAATAAAACATGTAATATTTTTCAGAAGGATCCCTACAGCGTTCTCTCTTTTTCTCTCTCTCTCGTCTCTGTGCTCCGCCTAGCAGAGCCACGGGAGACCCTCTTCCCAGGGTGAGGCTGGGCCTGGGGGATCCCTATCCCCCTGACTGTGTACAAATGGGTGCTGCCAGGGACCCGCCCTTGCCGGGCCCCGATCCGAGTGCTGAGGCTGAGTCGCGCAGCCTGCACGGGAAAGGTGCCATCACCGTCCCTGTTTGTGGAGGAGGGGGGCGAAGCGTGAAGTGCGGGGAGCAGCGGGCGGGAACCGATCAGGGCAGGCCGGCTCCCACGGCAGTGCTCTGGCCGCCATTTGGCACCGGGCAGAGGCAGAGGGGGTCCCAGCGGCTCTTCCGGCGCTGGCCGCACGTGCTCCTAGGAGAAGGTGGCCACCTCCGCCCACTGGGGGAGAGAGGACCACGGCCTCGAGTCAGGGGTCACTGGGCCACCTGCCCGGCCGCCCCCGCCGCCCCCTCGGCACAGGCTCACCTGTCTGCGGCTCAAGCAGACGATCCCCTCGCCTCCCTCCAGCTGCCGGCTGCAGTGGCCTGTGTGGAGAGCGCGGGTTGAGCGCCCACCAGGGCGGCTGGGAGACACCCCCCCACCCCCCGCTGCCACCCCCTGCCCGCCGGAGCAGCGCTCACGGAAGATGCAGGTGAGCTGGGCCGCACACGACACAAAGCGCTCGAAGTCCACCTGCAGGCGGCTGTCCCGGTAGCGGCTGGTGAGCGCCTGGGTCAGCTGGTTGTTCAGGTGGAAGCCTGGGGAGACCGCCCGTGAGCCCCAGCCGCACCCCACTCCCCGGCACCGCACCCCCTCGGACCCCAGCTCCGCCCCCTCCCCAGTGCGCAGCGCCGGGCAGCTCCCTTTGGGGCTCCCTTAGCTTCTCTGTGCCACAGCTGTCTCATCTGTCAGAGGGGGGCGGTGACAGCCCTGACCCCGTCAGCCTGTGTGAAGGTGTCCTGTGTAGAGCTTAGAACCATGTCTGGCACACGACTGTATGTCAGTTTTATTATTGTTTAAATTCTGGTGAGCTGCTGCTAAGGGACCCTGGAGGGCGCTTCCGGGCAGTGGAACATTTTTGTCCCCCACGGAGCCCATCCCCATACTCCCTCTCAGAGGCCGGTTCTAACCTAGAAATACTCGACAAAGATCCCCTCTGCTGAGACATCTCATGGGCTTTAGAAAGACCGCATTCCTTGGGACTCCTGGGTGGCTCAGTTAAGCGTCTGACTTCGGCTCAGGTCATAATCTCATGGTTCGTGGGTTCGAGCCCCGCGTCGGGCTCTATGCTGACAGCTAGCTTATTGCCTGGAGCCTCCTTCGGATTCTGTATCTTCCTCCCTCTCTGACCCTCCCCTGCTCACACTGTCTCTCTCTCAGAAATAAAACATTTAAAAAAAAAAAAAAGAGAAAGACTGCGTTCCAGGTCAGGTAACCCTCCAAGACTAGGGATACAGGATGGCTCCTTCCCCAGGTGGCCACAGACACAGTCCGAGGAGAATTTCACAGCTTCCGCCGCCTCCTAAACCCCATCTCCGCCCCATTCTGTGCCTTCATTCATTGACGACCCGCCTGTCTGGCCTGCCCTGCCTTGTGGGGAGTGGCCCGGAGGAGTCCCCCTGGCCTCATCTGCCCTGAGCGAGGGGGACCCTAGCCAGAGGAGGAGGTGGGAGATCCCAAGAAGGGGCAAGGACCCCTCAGCTGCCTCTCGAGTTCCTACCGACCTTCTGTGCAGACTGCACTTCCTCCGGCTGCTCTCGTGCACTGCCCGGTCTGGAGTCCTGCCTGGATCCCCTGCTACCTGGGAAACCCCTCACCTGGTTTACCAGGTCCTGGTGACCGTGACCTCCTGGCTACCCCTCCCCAGGGGCCCCACTGTCCTTAACAGCCTGGTGGCCTTCGCAGACCACGCCTCATCTACCCCTCCCCCTCCCGCACTTGGACTTTGTGCTTTGTCTTGCCTCCCTGGCGCATGATGTTCCTTCTGCCCAGAACACTCCTTAGTGTCGTGCTGCCTCCAGGAAGCCCTCTCCCATCTCTCTGCCCTTCCTGGCTGCAGCATGGAGCCCCTCCTCTGGCGCCCTGTGCCCACCCCGTCCCCACTCTGACCCCTGACAGGCTGTCCCTGTCCTTGGTGGCTCTGAAAGCTGCTGGAGGTAAGGGAAGGGTTTCCAGTCACTACCAAACCCCCAGCATCAGCCGGCACAGGGCCAGGGGCACAGCGGGTATCCGGGGACACGCAGAGCATGGCTGAGCTGCGGCAGGTCGCCCTGACACTGCCACCATTTCCGGGGGTCTCGAGCATGCTTCCTGTGGGTCCTCTCCCCTGGCACTCCCTCCTCCATACGCAGTGGGACCTTCCCTTTGCTCTTGGCTCCAGCCCCCCACACACCCTGACCTTGGACTTGCCCTACCTCTTCCCTCTCATACGTATTAAAAAGCGATTTGTAAAAGAGCCCAGGTCCTCCTGAGGCCTCGTAGAGCTTCACTTTCTCGCCCCACTGATCTTTCCTCTCTGACCACCGCCATCTCCCCACCCTCCTCCAACCACCCCGGCCCCTTGCTCTTATTCCGGCAGGACTCATGCTCTTATCTCAGGGCCTTTGTACGGGCTGTTCCTTCTGTCTAGACTGTACTTGGTTCTGTCCCCAGGGCTCAGTCTCCCTCCTTCAGTTCTGCTCAAACAGCACCTCGGTCCTTCCCTGACGGCCGTGTCGCAAGCCACACACCCCCCCCACACATACACCTGCTTTCTCTTCCCGCCGTGGCATGTGTTACCATCTGACCCAGGTGTTCTTGTTGGTCATCTGTCCGCAGCCCCAGAACGTCAGCCCCCACCCCAACAAACACCACAAACCCTCCAAACTCCCTCGCTCTCGCCCCTGCTTCTGTCCACCCGGGACTCCTTTCCTGTTTCTGTGCCACACCCCTCCCAACCTTCTTCTGTCTGACTCCACCCCTCCCCCTCTGGCTGGGGCTCTTTTCTTGCACAGGGCCTCCCTGCCTCTCCGACTGGGTCACGGTCGGTCGGGCTTGCCTCCCATCTCCCCGTGTCTCACCCTGGGCTTGGCTGTGGCAGGGGGTGGGGGTGAGGGACAGGGGTTTCCTTCTGGCCCCGGCCCCTCCACTCCTGCGCCTTCCTTAACTTGCTTCAGAGCCCAGGGAAAGCCTTGCTCCCTGGCTCCGCCCCTGGGGTAGGATGTTGTGCTGCACAGATGGGATCGGGGCTGTTCCAGCTCTCCGGAAGAAGCTGGCCTTCCCCAAACTGAGCCCTGGGGGCTCCTCCCAGGCGCCCTGGGTCCTGGCCGCTTTACACAGGCTCAATCATGAAGCCCACGGCCACTCAGGGAGTAAGTCAGTAGAGGCAGGATTCCAGCCCAAGCTCTCGTGGCAATATGGGCCATTTCACCACAATGCCCTGGGGACCCGCGCCTGTCAGACCCCCGCTCCCAGGCTTCTGGGAGGCCCTGCTCCAGGCCCCCAGGCCCCCCACCGGCCCACCCCCCCTCACACCGCCTCCCAGGGGCATCCAGTCCCAGCCAAGAGCTGGCAACAAACAGGTGAGCAGGCAGCCAGGCCTGAAGGGTACAGCGGGTAGGAAGGGGAGCGGTTGCTGTCCCCATGTCGCCCCCCAACACACCTGCCGCGTTCAGCGCCAGCCTCAGCTCGTACGAGTTCATGGTCCCAGAGGCGTCCTCATCGAACTTGTCAAATGTGGCCTGGGCGGGGAGGCGCAGGTCAGTCCCATCCCCGCCCCCAGGCCCCCCAAGCACCCTGAAAAGAGCCGAAAGGGGACCTTGGAGCCCGGTGAGCCTGGGTTCCCACCCCAGCTCCCTTTCTTCCCGGCTTCGGGCCCTCGGCGAGCAGCTCTACCACTTTGAGGCTGTTTCCCAGTCTGTGAAATGGGAATAATAGTACCAGCTGGACTAGGGTACGAGGAGAAGTCGGACGCCACCCACAGGGGCTTCGTGAGGGCCCCGCAAACAGCGCCTTAGCGCCCGTCAGTATAGGACGATACAGGCCTTGGGCCATTTCCTCCTCACAGGGACCCGGAGCAGCGAGAATCCACGCCTCCCACGGGTAGAGGGGAGGTGACTTGCCTGAGGTCGCGCAGCCAGAAAGGGGCCGAACTGGCAGCTGGGGTTTCAACCCAGGACCAGAACCTGTGCTTTCCACACCTGAGCTACTTAGTGCCCCTAGAGGGACCACAGGAAGGCAGGTGGGGCAAGGCCGGCCCAGCCAGATCCCTCCAGGCTGTTCCTGCACGTTGCTATGACGCGGCCCCTTTCTCCTCCCCCGGGGCCGCGCTGGCCCATGGGACACGTATGTCCTTAGTAGCAAAAGTGCCTCATCTTCTGGGAAGAGGTGGCCCCCCCCAGCCCCCCACCTTACCTGCCACTCCAGGAGATGGCCCCAGAGCTGCTGGAAGTGGTGCAGGGTGAGGCCTCGCCCGTCCTGAGGGTGGGGTCTCTGGTTGAGGTCGACCCGGGCCCCAGCATGCCCATCCTCCCTCCCCAGGCACTGCGCCCCGCATATACCCCAAAACACCGCAGCAGCTGCTCACAGGTCCTGAGCCCAATCTCTCGAGGGGTCCGGGCGTGGGACCTGGCTACGGGAAACAAACAAAACCCAGTACTTCCTGTGCGCTGGCCGTCATTGTCATTGCTAGGGATTACCACTGTCCCCATGCCAGTGGCCGAGGCTCAGAGAGCCACATGACTGCTGGGAACTGGCGGAGCCGACCTGTGAACCCGGGCAAGGGGATTCCAAGGCCCCTCGTGGCAGCCCTGCCTCCCTTAGAGAAAGGGGGGCCTAATGAACGGGGTGGCCTCGGTCGTGCCCCAGGCCCCACACGGGGAAAGACGCGGTCAGGCCGAGTCCAGGGCTCCCGTGGCCGGACTCCCAGCAGCGTCACAGATGAACACACACAGGGGGCTCCGTGGGGTCCACCCCGGCCCCCCACTCACCAGGCTCCAGGGCAATGCTTAATAAGGTCTGGAGCTGAGGGGCGCTGAGTGCTTCCTCCTGGTCAAGGACAGAGCCAGTTGTGAGGCCCTTCACTCAGGCAGCCGTTCAACAGCACAGCGCAGCTCGGGCGGGACCAGCCGGAATTGCGGGTGGTGGTGGGGACACCGCAGACACAGGGAGCTCATGGCAGGGAGAGCGAGAGCCCCGTCCCCAGACCAGACAGGGCTGCTGCACTGGCCCCCGGAGGCCACAAGCAGGCCTGTGGTTGACCAGCCTGGGCGAGAATGTGCCAGAGCTTCCAGAGAAGGGCACGTTAGAAAGATGAGACCTTGGCCAGGGCAGGGGGTGTGAAGGGAGAGAGGACCGTGCAGGCAAAGGTGCACAGGCTGACCAAAGGCCCTGGGACAGGGAAGAGTTGTGAGCATTTTGAGAGTAGAAAGTCAGGAGACTTAAGCACAGAGGAAGAGAGAAACTAAAGCAAAATGAGACACCCAGGATGGGGGGGCAGGGGAGGGGTGAGCCCCCTTAGCCCTGTTCCCCCAAACTCACGTCTCCCGCCAGCTCCTGAAACAGCTGTTCCAACCCCAGCTCCAGGGGAACGTAGGGGATCTGTGGGGCGGGGCGGGGGGAGGGGTGGAGTTTAGAGCCCAGAGGATCCCCACCCGGTCCTGCCCCGAAGTGCACATTCTGGGCAACCGCTCACCATGAGGGCGTGCAGGTCGGCGCTGATGACGTCATCGATCTCCCTGCAAATGACACAAGGAAAATGGGGGAGGGGACGCTCCTCCTCCCCCCCCCCCCCGCATCTGGGGCCCTGGGCAGATCCCCGCGGGAGTCTCTGGAAGCGGGGCTCTGGGGCTCCCCGGGGCGGGTCTGGGTGCCCCGGCTCACACGGCGGTGTGGCGGCGCTCGGAGAAGACGCGCAGCGTGAAGTCGGCCTCGTCGCCCGCGCGGGCGGCGCTGGGCACCACCAGGTAGTGGCCGGGGCGCAGGCGGCAGCGGCGGCTCACGTCACGGCGGGCGCTGAAGTGCGAGCGGTCTGCGCGCAGCAGGCCCGGCAGGAGCGCACGGCTGCGCGGGGAGTCCCACAGGCCCAGCAGCTGCAGGGCCAGCGCGGCGTGATCGTGACCGTGACCGTGACCGTGACCCGGACCGCCCGCGGTCACGCCACCCTTCCCCCCCCCGCCCCCGCTCAGGGTACCCGAGCCCCCAGGGCCGGGATCTGGGGTCCCCGCCGAGACCCACCTCCTCAGGGATCTGTAAGGAGGAAGAACGGGGCGACTCAGAGCCCCCCCACACCTCCCTCTTCTTCCTATTTCCCGCTCATCACGCCCCTGCCCCTCAGTCCCTGTCCCTGCCCAGCTGTGACCCCCGCTGGACCCCGCTCCTGCCTGCGCCCTCAGCTCCTCTTCTCTGCCCCTCCTTCCCCACCACCCCCCATTCCCTCAGCTCTGTCCTGTCCCTGACCCCCCACTCCCCACCCGCCACCTCCTGGGCCCCCCTGTTCCCTGCTGCTTCCGCCAAGCCTCGGGGTCCCACCTGGAACACGTGAAAGCCCACGGTGAGGTAAGTGATGCCCTGGGCCCTCAGGCGCCTGCGGTTGCGCTGGATGAGGGACAGAAGGACGGTGCACTTGGGGATGCGGCCCCCCCTCGCAGGGCCCCACGCTCCTGCGGCCCCCCAGCCCCCCCAGGGCCCCTCCTCATCATCGTCCTCTTCGTCATCGGGCTCCAGCAGCGTCAACCGGAACTGCGGGTTGGTCCAGAAGGTCTCTAGCAGAGCCGGAAGAAATGGGGTCACCCGGCCTGCCACAGCCTCCCCCCGACTCGCATCTTGGGGCGCCCTCCAGGCCTCACCATTGCCAGGCTGGCTCCCGCCAGAGTTGAAGCCGCGCACCCAGCGGCCTTGGAAAGTGTGGATGTGCCAGCCGCCTCCGGCCGGGCTGGGGCCCAGCACCTCGGGGCTCAGCGAGCAGATCTGCACGGTGTTGAAGTGGCGGAGGAAGTCCTTCAGCTCCATCCTGCGGGGCGGCCGCGCTCAGCTCCTCCCCAGGGCCCCGGTCTGTCGGCCAAAGATCTCAAGACCCCAGGAGGACACCCCCCCATCACAACCCTCCACAATTCCTGAAACATTGCCAAGTAGCCATCAGTCCGCCAGATGCCAGAAATGAGCCCCAAATCACTGAGCCCTCCAGCTCCCCCAGATTTCACCAAGTCCCCAGAAATGCCCCACCGAGGGCCAAATCGATACACCCCCCCCAATATTGCCAAATCGCCTTCGGATAGCAAGACCCTCTGGCTCTCAATTAGCAACTAGTATCCTTCACCCCCTTACAATGCCCCAGACTCCATCAAGCCTACAATTGCCCTAAATATTACCCATCCCCCTTCAGCCCCCCCCCCAGAAGTTACTGTTCTTCCCAGATCCCCTAATATTACCGCTAATTCTTCCTCTACTCCCCCAAATAGAACCCAACTCCCCCAAATGGAACCCAAGCCCAGAGTTACCACCATACGGACAGTTTCTAGCTGTTAAGACTCGTCCCCGTGAACTTGTCGCATGGCCCTTCGAGCAGGCCTCGTCCCCTCCCCGGGCCCCGCTGGCCTGGCGCGGGGCCGGAGGCAGAGCTGGGCCAGGAGACTCACCAGAACTCGCCATCCTCCTTTTTGACCAGCAGGGCATCCCGCCACTCGGTGGGGAGCGTGTCCCAGCGCGGGCATCTAGGGAGACGGGGGTGTGAGGGGTGGGCGGGTGGGTCCGAGCCCCCCACCCGCCCCAGATCCATCCCACCTGTCGCTCCAGGCCCCTGTCCACTCCACGCGGCCCCACGGGTTCCGCAGCCGCAGCAGCCGCACCTTGGTGAAGCCCAGGGACACCTGAGGGTGGCATCATCAGTGGGGGGTGGCGCCGAGACACCCCTGTCACCCGTTCGTGGGGGATACTCACCTTGTATGTGCCCGTGACTGAATACGCATGTCCCTTCACCAGCCCGTCTTCTGTGCGGTACTCGCCCCGATCACTCTGGGCGGCGGAGGACGGGGATGGTGAGGCCACGGTGGGGGACGAGAGAGTGGCTGCTCCTCTCTGCCCCCCCCATTCTCCTACCACCAAACCGCGAGTCCGCCAGAGCGCCCCGCTGGATGGCACAGGGCTCTGAGAGGGCGGAGTGTGGGTGAGTGAAGGCGAGAGGGGAACGAGAGAGAGAGAGAGAGGGCGGGGCGGGGGGAGAGGGAGGAAGATGGAGACAAGACAAAGATCCTCGGAGAGGACAGAGATGCAAAGACAAAGAAAGATGCAGACCAGAGACTGAAAGAGGCAGAGAAACACACAGGACCAGGAATCAGGAACTGAGCACAGGATTAAGCAAATGAATGGTGAAGGAATTAGACCGACTCAGCGAAGGCCTGGTACGTGGTGAGGCCTCAGATGAACATATGACCCAAGCAGGGCCCATGGAAAGCAATATGAAGACTTTTGCTGAAATTCCCAGAAAGAGGCTTTGTCTTAAAACAACAACAACAAAACAAAACAAAAAACGGGGGGTGCCTGGGTGGCTCAGTCTATTAAGCATCCAACTTCAGCTCAGGTCATGCATGATCTCACAGTTTGTGGGTTCGAGCCCCATGTTGGGGCCTAGAGCCTGCTTCGGATTCTGTGTCTCCCTCTCTCTGCCTCTCCCCCACTGGTGCTCTGTCTCCCTCTGTCTCTCAAAAATAAATAAATGTTAAAAACAAAACTTAAAAAAAAATAGAAACTGCTGGGGAGGTAGGAGGGACCAGTGGCTGGGGGACCCCTTTTGCTCCCATGAGAGGAATGGCTGCCCAAGAGTGAAGCTAACCCAGAACCAGGAAGAGAAAAACATATTTTCCACATCCACAGTGGGTGAGCACCTAGATCAAGCTGTGCCTGAAGCCTGTCTAGTTATGAGAACACATACATTTCCTTTTGATCTGCTGGAGCTTGATTGGAGAGAGAGACCAGCCAACCGTGAACACAGAGAGGAGGGCACAGGACTCCCCCTGCCCCCACCTCCAGCCCTGACTGTGCTCTGTTCCCGGTGGGGGTCCCCATGGGAGTCTGGCTCTCTCACCAGGGCAGTGGCGCCCACGAGGGACTCCTTGGCCAGGGCATGGCGCAGGGCAGAGAAGAGGCCTGGGATGTCTTGCCTCAGGTAGAGCACCTCGCCCACGCCGCCTGTGAAGTCCACGAAAGCCTCATTCATGTGGCCGCCTCGCATCACTTCATAGGAGCCGTGGAGCCTGTGGGAGCAGGTCAGGGGTGGGAATGTCCGAGGCTCGTGTGAGAATCTCACGCACCCCCCACCTGCAGAATCTGAGGGCGCCCCTGTCCCAGGGTGTGCGGGCCCAGGGGCCATCCTTGCCATTTGCAGACTCCTGAGGTGGGTGGGGGACTGTGTGGCACAGATTGGAAACGCTTGGAAGTTGGTCCCTAGGCCATGAGGACCGCATGATGGGGGGGAGGGGAGGTGCAGGAGAGCTCTCCAGAATCCTGGGCGTCCTGCGAGCTGTGTTCGAACCTCTGGGTCTCCTGGAGATGTCTGCTTGGGGTGAGATCTCTGTGGGGCTGGTGGGGGATTTCGGAGCCACAGGGTGGAGGAAAGTAAAGACTGAGGGTTCCAGGGATTACCCTCAACATCCGGAAGGGGCTTTGGGTTTCTCAGTAGAGTAGGAGGGATTTTGTTCTGAATTCTCAGGACCCCCAGGGGGTAAATAAATCTTAGATTTGGTGGCTCCGGGGCCTGAGAGCTGAGATTTCAGGCTCCTTACGAATTGCGAGTGTTGGTGGGTATCTAGGGAGGTTTTGCGTGAGATGTTGGTGGCGGGAGGTATTGAGGATGTGGAGGCCCTCAGGAGATGGTGTGACATCAGGGGACCTGTGACTTGGTGTGGGGCCCTTGGCGGGGGCGTATAGAGGACCCCAGCAGTTGGACGTCTCTGGGGACTCCTTGTGGCTCGGGGCCTGCTGGCCGGGACTTGGGGGTGCAGCTGGGGAGGTGTGCTGGGTCCTTACTTGGCGTAGGCCTTTTCCAGGAGCGGGGCCCAGAACTCGTTCCGCTGATCCGAGCGCACGAACATAAGCTTCCCGTCCCGCACCGGCAGCCTGTCGTCCACCACGACGTCCACCCAGCGGCCAAACTGCCAGAGCTGGCGGGAGGAGGGCATGGCCCAGGTTCCCAAAATCCTGGTGTGCCGGGCCCCCAGCCTCTGACCCCCGGCCCCGCCACATGGGTCCATGAATTGCAGCCCCAAGGGGACAGCATCACCTATGAAATCCGTATCACCGTGGGGGAGACTGAGGCACGCAGAGGACCTGAGCTTTACCTGGAAGTGGAAGACACCTGCGTAGCCCTTCTGGAAACCCTGTCCAGGGGGGACCACCCGGCACAGGAGTCGGGGATACAGAGTGAGCGAGGCAGCGGCCGCAAGAAACCAGCAGTTACCTGGGAGGAGGGGTGAGGACTGGGTGGGTGAGGAAAGAGGGAGACTGAGGCACGGGGAGAGGGGAGCCTGAGGGGGAGACCCAGGGGCCGAGCCGGCAGGGTCCCAGCCGCAACTTGCCAGATCTGGGAGCTCCGGGGGGGTTCGGGGGTCTTACCTAGGCGCCCCTGACACACGTCTGTTCGGCTCATATCCTCACAGATGAACTGGGGCTCAGCGCAAAACTCCTGGGGGTGACGGATTCCAGGCCTCAGCCAGGAAAGGGGGGGAAGGGGCAACTGAGAGGTCCGATGCCTGGGTCCCCTCCGGCCCTCACTCCTCCGGAGTAATGAGCGCCTCCAGCCCCAGGAGAGGCTTGTAAAGCTGGTGGACAGGCATTTGGCTTCCCTGGGCCTCGCTAGACCCCCGAGTCAGAACACCCCAGCCCTCCTCCTCATATCGGGGCTCAGCCCCCACAGCCCCCTCCTCCCTCAGACCCAGGGGCTCAGCCTTTACAGCCCCTCCTCCCTCACACTCGGGGTCTCAGCCCCCCACACTCCCCTTCTCCCTCAGACCCAGGGGCCCAGCCCCCACAGCCCCCAACCACACATTACATGGGGCCTCATCCATTCCACCCCTTTGGCCTTCTCTGAGTCCGGCCCCAGCTCGTCATAGCCAAGGGCATCGGGGCCAGCAGGGAAGTAGGGATCGCGGAACAGGATCCCCTCATCCAGGCAGGCTGCTCGGATTGCCTCGTATCTCTGGCCCCGGAAGGGCTTTGGGCCTCTGGTTCCAGGCCCTGCCTCTTCGTCCACCAGCTGGATGGTGACCCTCTTGCTGCCACACGCCATCCGGACACTCTGGGTTCCCAGGCTGGCCCCAGGCCCTTTAACCTCCTGAGTCATGGGGGTGGGGCCTCCCCTCCATCAGATCTCTGATGGGGGTCTTTAGGCGGTGAGGAGCCTCCCCTTGTTAATACTAATTGATGGTTTGGGGTGCCAGGCAGCCAGGACGCCTCTCCCCAGGGCGTGGGGCCTTCAGTTGTGGCCGGGGTAGCAGCTTAATGGGCTTGGTCAATGAGCTGGGGGACCGAGAGTTCTGGAAGGAGGTCAGTGTGGAGGTGTGTTTCTGCCATCTCGTCGCTGCCTCTCCCTCCGTGGGGCTGGGGCCGCAGGGGTGAGGAGGGCGGCGTGTTCATCCTGGGTGTCTCCATTTCTCCTCGTCTCTCCATCGAAGCTTGTCTCTCTGCCGTGGTGTCTCTCTTCTCTCTCGGCCTCATGTCTCTGTCTCCTTTTGTCTTCCTCTGCTTTTGGTTTTGGTTTTGTTTTGTTGTTGTTGTTTTTAGCTCTGTTTTAGTTTTTATCACTGTATCTGTGTCTCTCCCTGTCTCTCCCTGTCTCCATCCTTCTCTCCATATCTCTTTCTGGGTGTCTCTTTCTCTCTGTACCTTCTGTCTGGTACATGCCTCACTGTCCGTCCCTCGACCCCCTTTTCTCTGCCCCTAGATCCTCAGTCACCCACGGTGGACCCCCGGACCCCCTCTGCCTCACTCCTCCTGAGCCACCAGGACGCCGTCTCCCCCTTCCCCGACCTCAGCCTGTTTGCCCCACGCAGGGCTGAGTGTGGAGGGGCTGCGGTGCACTTACCCGCCCTGGGTTGGGAGGCGGGCCCACCAGTGACTGTGACCCACACACGGCTCAGGGTCCAGTAGAAGAGTATTTCCCTGAAAGGAAGCTGGAGGCTTTGGAAGAAATGATAGAAATAGGCTCTGAGAGGCCACAAACTCACCCCCAGTCTGGGGCCCAGCAGACTCATACCCCCAGCGGGGGTGCCCTGCATGGCAAGAGGCGTCCCTGAGTCCTCTGGCATTCTTCCCTCCAAATGGACCAACTCTCTGAGCTCCTGGCTGTGTGGCCACCAAAAAGGGGTCATAAAACAGGGTATCTTCCTGCGGGATTGCCAAGGCCACCCCCTCACTCCCCACCCCCGCCTTACACCTGACAGGGGTAAAAGCTGAAGGGCTTGGGGTTCATGCCACTGAGAGGCTGTGTGTGTTGGGCAAGTCACTTAACCTCTCTGTGCCTCAGTTTCCTCATGTCTACAACGGGAACGATAATAATAGCACTGACCTCAGAGGGCTTTCGTGAGAAGCAAATGAGTTAATCCGTGGGACGTGTTCAGAGCAACGCCTGACACGTGGTGGGGGTGCTCAGTAAACATTAGCTGTTCTGAGTCCGTCTGAGGCCGCATTCCCACTGAGAGGTCACAGCCCTTTCCCCTACGTTTGCCTCCAAGTGCTACTAACAGCAGGAGGAAGCATGTGATAAAACCTGACTGACATCTGGCAGCGAGCAGGAATCCACCCGTGGAAACTGCCACCTGTCCGGTCCTGCCTGGCCCCCATCCGCAGGTCCCTGCTGGTCGCAGCTCTTCCGAGCTCCCTGCGGGCTGGGCTGCCCTTGCCACGCTCTGATCACATCCCACAAACAAGAGTTCTCTTGATCCTCACTCTCCACCTCCTCCCTTATGTCCAGGGTCCCAAATACGCCTGCCTCCGCCATCATAAGAAAAACGCATGGATGCCAGAGTCCTGGATGTCTGTTGCTTTGTGAGCCCAGCATCCTCCACCTCTTTTTCTGGAATCAGCACCCCATTTAAAAATTTTTTTATAGTTTATTTATTTTTGAGACAGAGAGAGACAGAGCATGAGTGGAGGAGGGGCAGAGAGAGAGGGAGACACAGAATCCGAAACAGGCTCCAGGCTCTGAACTGTCAGCACAGAGTCCGACGTGGGGCTCGAACCCACGAACCCTGAGATCATGACCTGAGCCGAAATCGGACGCTCAACCGACTGAGCTACCCAGGTGCCCCCTTTTTTTTTCTTTTTAATTTTTCCTTATAGTTTATTTATTTTTGAGACAGAGACAGAGCACGAGTATAGGCGGGGCAGAGAAAGAGGGAGTGGAATCAGCACCCCATTCTGTTTTGGGAATCCAGGAGTCCTTTATTCCCAAGCCATGTGGCTCCAGGAGGTCTGGGCCCTCCCCCTAGCTCCGGGGCGGGGCGTTTGACCCAAACCAGCCAATCGGAGCAGCGCGGCGCTGGCCACACCCCTCCGTTACTCCCGGGAGACTCAGGGCGAGGTGGGGGCTTCTCTTTCCCTGCGGCCTCTAAGCTGGCGGGATGTAAACCCAGGGTAGCCAGGTCCAACCTCGGCCACCTTTGTCCTGTGACCCAGCCTGAAAATGAGGACAGCGCTGAGCAAAGCAGCGCCAGGCGACAGGGAGAGAAGGATTCCCATGAGCATAGAGTCTCAATCCGGATGTGCTTGAAGCCAGACGTTTACATTCAAGGAGCCAATAAATTCCGCTCCTCTCTTTTTCTCAGTTTTAATTTCAATTTAATTGTCCGTGTTGGTCACTAGAAACCAAAAGAAACCTTTCCAATTTCCCTGGCGTGATTTCTGCAGCCTCGCCCCAACTAGAATGTCCAGGACACCAATTTCCTATGGAGCAAGACATCGGGAGCCAGGTTACTCCTTTTCCACCCCTGCCTCCTACCTAACCCACAAAGCGTAGACTGTTTCTGCTTCAAGTTAAGGCTGCACTTGAACCATTAAGACCAAACAAACAAACAAACAAACAAAACTACCTAACACACTATCATGAAAAAGCCCCATTCCTGGGTTCAGCAGGTATCTGTTACACACATAACAAATAGCAAATGCTTGCTTTTTTTTTTTTTTTTGAGGGAGATCACTTGCGAGCAGGGGAGGGGCAGAGAGAGGGAGACACAGAATCCAAAGCAGGCTCCAGGCTCTGAGCTGTCAGCACAGAGTCCCACACAGGGCTCAAATTCATGAAGGGTGAGATCATGACCAGAGCTGAAGCTGGATGCTTAACCGACTGAGCCACCCAGGCACCCCTCTTCCTCTTCTTATAAAGAGACTAATCCCACCTTGGTGGGGGGGGGGGTCCCACCCTCCAGGTCTCATCCAAACCCAGTTACCTCCCTAAAGGCCCCACCCCTTAATGCCATCACATTGGGACTTAGGGCTTCAATATATGAATTCGGGGGGGGGGTGGGGAGCAAACACCGTCCATAGAAAGTGGTGAAGTTTACATGTGAGAAAGCTGAGGCATAGAGGAATGTGCTTTTCCTGTGCTCTCGCACTTACAAAAGCAGGATTTGAATCTGAGGGTTTGGCTTACTGATGATACTACATTGCCTCTGAAAAGATTAGTACTCAGAATATATAAAGAGCATCTATAAACAAACAATGGTTGACTCGATAAAAAATGGGCAAAAGACATGAATAAGCAATCACAGAATCAGTGTCCAATAAACATATGAAAACATTCTCGAGGGTTGCCTGGGTGGCTTAGTCGGTTAAGCGTCCAACTTTCGCTTAGGTCCTGATCTCGCGGTTCGTGGGTTCGAGCCCCGCGTCAGGCTCCATGCTGACTGCCAGCTCAGAGCCTGGAGCCTATTTCGGAGTCTGTATCTCCCTCTCTCTCTGGCCTCCCCTGCTCACGCTGTCTCTCTCTCTCTCGCTCCTAGAAATAAATAAAAAATATAAATAAAAAAAACATGCTCGACCTCAAGGAAATACTGATTAAGACCATCCAAAATATCATTATTCTCACTACATGAGGAAGAAAGTTAAGAAGGCCGAAGATACCAATGTCGGCCGGGATGTGGAGTGACAGGCAGGGTGATACAGAATTGTAACTTGGAAGACAATTGGGCATTCCTCAGTAAATGCCTACCTTGTGACACAGCAATTCCACTCCCAGGTAGGTATGTGCATACTGGAGAAATTCCTGTACATGTGTTCCAGGAGATGCATGCAAAAATGTTCATAGGAGCATGGGTTGTAATAGCCAAAAGAAACAACAACAAAAAAGACCCTCAAATATCCATTGTCAACAAAATGGAAAAAAAAATTATATTGATACGAGAAGACTACACAGAAGTGAAAATCGGGTGAACTGCAGTTATGATAAGAGTGAATCTTGAAAACATTGTATTGAACAAAAAAGCGCCTCAAAAGAATACCCGCAGAGTATAACGCTGTTCTCTAAAAAAGGTACTTTTTGTTATGGAAAGTTGAAAACATCAGTGGCAGTAGACAGAAAGGTACAACGAACTCCACAACCCCAGCTTCAACAGGTGTTGACTTGTGGGATTCCAGCTTCACTGAAGCCCCACCCTCGCCTCCCACCTCTTGTATAAAATTTGAAGCAAATCCAAGACGTCATTTCATTCCTTCAGTAAATCTCAATATTTTATTGCTCTAAAAGATAAAAACTCTTGGCGCAGATTACACGGGCGGCTCGGTCAGTTAAGCATCTGACTTCGGCTCAGGTCACGATCTCACAGTTTGAGAGTTCAAGCCCTGAGTGGGGCTCCATGCTGACAGTGTGGTGCCTGCTTGGGATTCTCCCTCTCTCTCTCTGCCCCTCCACCCCCAATAAAAATAAATAAATTTATTAAAAAAAAAAAGATACTTTAAAAAAATACCATAACCCTGGGGCACCTGGGTGACTCAGTCAGTTAGGCATCCAATTTCAGCTCAGGTCATGATCTCACGGTTTGTGGGTTCGAGCCCCGTGTCGGGCTCTGTGCTGACAGCTAGCTCAGAGCCTGCTTCAGTTTCTGTGTCTCCCTCTCTCTCTTCCCCACCCCCACTTGCACTCTCTCTCTCTCTCTCAAAAATAAACAAACATTAAAAAAAGAGAACACTATAGCCTAAATACCATTTTCACACCAAGAAAATTACAATAATTTCTTAATATCACCAAATACTCAGTTGGTAATCACATTTCTGTCTCATAAATGTCATAACATT